GCACTTGAAATTACTTGCACAACAGCCTTATCCTGTGCACAGCCAACTGCCACTACTGCTTAAAACAACAGAAGTTGAGTGTGCTTAGCAGAATCAAAGTCAGACTAAAAGTTGACATTTAAGACAGCCATTGGAAATCCAAAGTTTGGGAAGAACTTAAAGCTTTCAGAACCAAGGGAACTCCAAAGGCTAAAGCAGTCAGTGATAGCTTTCCACCCCCTCCAGCAGGCTTTGAACAAAACTTGTATCTCCCACAACTGTCTCAGATAGTTATCACTTCATCACCATACATTCCTCATCATCTTCTGCCTCTCTCAGAAAATAGGAATCCAGCAAGCTCTTCAAGCCAGGAGACAAGTCTTTCCGACATCAAGGAAAGGCAGAAAGCAACATGTTGCTTCAGCACCAGCTATCAAAAGCCTACCATCCTCATTTAAAAACGTAAATAGAAAAGAACTGTGAAGGATCGTAACACTTACTTGTGGGACTGAGCGACTTCTTCCCTTTGGGCTGAATATGAACTTGGATTTGACCTTGAGATAGCTCCAGAGTTGTAAAGCTGGTTTGATGGAGTTGTAAAAAGTCAGTATGACGCTGACGGAAAAAACGTCAAGCTTTTGGAAACAGAATAAAGAAGGATTTTTGGATTTGTGGGACTCAGGAGCAGCACAGCAGTACACACAGCAGCACACAGTTCACCTGTAGACTCTGGATCCACATGGGAGATGGTGAGTGATAGGGTGTGAGAAATGACAGGCAATTCCCACCAACGCCCTTGGCTGTTTAGATAAAGCCAGCTTTGCAGGAGATGGGATCTCCATGCTAGAGTATTGTATTGTCAGTTTCATGACTTCTGCATTCCTCTTGAGGATTTCCTAGAAGGGGGAGAAAAGAGATGGATGCTATACAGCCTGCTAGCCTGGCTTTTAGTACAGTTACCTAAGGAAGGCAGGAAGATGTATGGAAATTGTGAAAACTAATGCCGAGGGCTATAGCACAGGAGCAAGCAGGAGCTGTTTTATCCAGTTGCTGATGGAAAAGTAAGGCTGAGGTAAAGGCTGGTGGGAGCAAAAGTGACAGCATCAATTCCTTTGGGGGAAAAAACTAAAAAAAAAAAAAAAAAAAAAGCTGAAATGGAAAATGATGCTTCTTGCCTATGCCTAGAGCATTCTGTCTGCACAGGGTGGGCCCAGCTAGATGTGGCATTTGGCACAACTTCCAGATGGTGGGCAGGAATGAGAGTGGGGTGGGTGGGAACTTCCTAAACTTTCCCGCTGCTGCAAGTAATGCTGAATGTTGAGTCTGTGTGCTCATCTCACTGATTGAGGGTTGTTCCAGGCCAAAGGCAGGATGGGAAGGGGCATTAATAAGGTGATAAATGATTTCTGGTGAGGTAGGAAGCACAACACTGAGATGTGTGGCTATGGGGCTGGGACCCTTCCCCAGGGAGCAGCTGCAGTATATAGCAGGAGAATTGAGAGATCCTGTGCGGGGTCTGGGTTCGAGTGCTGCAGGAGGCCAGAACTGTGAGAAGCAAGAGGTGAGGCTGTTTGCGAGGAAGTAGGGTGGCACATAGCAAGGTGTGGAAATTTTGAGGATGCCTGCTGAGGTTGACACTGGGGAGAGAAGAGAGAGAGAGGATGAGTTTGAAAGGAGGCCTGGGGTCCTGCTTTGGAGAGGAGCAGGGAATTGTAGGCGATTTACATGGAAAGAGCAGATGGCAGTGTTCTGCTGGTAGCCCGTTTTCTACCCCACACCTTCACTGGGTAATGCCAGGCATACATTCTCTGCTACTCAGTGCAGAGCTATGCCTCCCTTCTTGCTCTGTCCTCCCAAGCACCTAAAGCTCTTGCTCCCCTAGGGCTTTCCATCTCTTCAGATGACCCTTCAAGGCAGATATTAGGTCAGGAGGCTGCACAGCTGCCTTGTGTGGCAGGCTGCCCCAGGAAATCAGCTACGGAGGGAGAAAACACCATACCCCACATGCCTGTAGGGTAATACAGCCCTCCGCACTGCAAACAATGGCTATTACCATGGTGCTGCAGCAGGAGAGTGGTTGTTTCTGGTGTCACATTCCAGTTAGACACATGATACCTCTGGCTTGATTCTTTTCCAACTTTGGCTCCTGTTCTCTGCTGTAGGACTGAACAGTGTCCTCCTGGGTTTAAAACACTTGAAAGAAGACCTGCTTGCAGAGACCTTCCAATTCCAATCAAAGTTGGTATCGATCTGTTCACAATGGCTCTGCTTGCTCTGTCCCAGTGAAATGTGCTTAACTGTTGGCATTTAACCTTCTACCCATCATTTGTAACTGATGTGTGCTCACAACCTGGGGAGAGCCAGCAGGGATATGGATATACTCAGACAGTTCCAGCTGTTTGTTGTCAGCATCCATTGCAGCAGCTTTGTTCAAGCAGAGGAAGATCTGGTTAGTACTTTTAATGGTGTTGATTCCCTTTTTGTCTGCAGCATTTCAGACAGTGACTGCTCTATGAATGTGCCAGAGTTGTGGGCTGTAATTACCTCATTTTGGGGAGGACAGTAGGGTGACATACTTTACACTTGCCTGACTGTGATGTCTGTTTGTTGCACAGCAATGCTGCCACAGCTGTAGCTGCACCAATCCTCCTCTGTTCACCTCTTACTGGCTTAGTATAGAATCACAGAATGGTTTGGGTTGGACAGGACCTTAAGATCATCTAGTTCCAACCCCCTTATCATGGGCAGGGATGCCTCACACTAAACCATATGTCACCCAAGGCTCTGTCCAACCTGGACTTAAACACTGCCAGGGATGGAGCATTTATCACTTCTATGGGCAACCCATTCCAGTGCCTCACCACCCTCACAGTAAAGAACTTCTTCCTTACATCTAACCTGAACTTCTCCTGTTTAAGTTCGAATCCATTACCCCTTGTCCTACCACTACAGTCCCTGATGAGCAGTCCCTCTCCAGCATCCCTATAGGCCCCCTTTCAGATATCGGAAGGCTGCTATGAGATCTCCATGCAGCGTTCTCTTCTCCAGGCTGAATAGCTCCAGCTTTCTCAGCCTGTCTTCATACAGGAGATTCTCCAGTCCCCTGATCATCCTCGTGGCCTCTTCTGGACTTGTTCCAACAGATCCATGTCCTTTTTATGTTGAGGACACCAGAACTGCACACAATGCTCCAGGTGAGGTCTCACGAGAGCAAAGTAGAGGGGCAGGATCACCTCCTTTGACCTGCTGGTCACACTCCTTTTGATGAAGCACAGGATACAGTTGGCTTTCTGAGCCATGAGCGCACACTGAAGCTGGCTCATGTTCATGATTTCCCCTTAGTGAAGCCATGCTGGCTGTCACCAGGCACCTTGTTTTTCATGTGCCTTAGCATGCCTTCCAGGAGAATCTGCTCCAAGATTTTGCCAGGCACAGAGGTGAGACTGACTGGTCTGTAATTCCCTGGGTCATCCATTTTCCCCTTCTTGAAAATGGGGGTTATATTTCCCTTTTTCCAGTCATCGGGAACTTCACCTGACTGCCATGATTTTTCAAATATGATGGAGAGTGGTTTAGCAAGTCTATTTGCCAGCTCCTTCAGGACCCGTGGGTGGATTCCATCAGGTCCCATGGACTTGTGCACATTCGGGTTCCTAAGACGATTTCAGACCAGATCCTCTCCTACAGTGGGCCCAAGGTCTTCATTCTCACAGTCCCTGCATCTGCCCTCCAAGACTTGAGCGGTGTGGTCAGAGCATTTGCCAGTGAAGACTGAAGCAAAGAAGTCATTCAGAACCTCAGCCTTCTCCAAATCCAGGGTAGTCAGGTTTCCTGTTTCCTTCTGGAGAGGGCCCACGCTACCCCTAGTCTGTCTTTTCTTAGTGACATACCCATAGAAGGTTGTGTGTAGCTCAATCATGTCTGAACCATCTGTGGCAGGAGAAAGAAGACACACATGAAAAGGGGAAAAAGGTACAGGGAGACTTTACAGGGAGATGCCAGTGTCTAAGGAAGCCAAAACCACAAAGCCGCAGTTTCTTGGCTTGAAATATATGCTTCCTTTCATTACAGCATACCATACAGTTCCAGTATTTGGCTTGTCCTTCTGGAGGTCAAGACCGGGATGATTTATGGAGACTGGCTAAGGTTTCCCTAGAAAGGACACCATTCTGTAGAATCACGTATGTTATTCAGGAGGGGAAGAAGACTACCTGGAGCATTTCTGTTATGCTTAAAACCGTGTGCTCCATTCACCTTAGTGTTTATGCAAAACACTCTTTCTTCTTGAGGTTGTTAGTCTAAATAAATTAGTTTGCTAGTGAGTCCATCTGGTTACCATACCCAGGCAGAAGGTAGGAACAGCAGAGGAATCACTGAGTCTAAGGCAGATGGGGCACTGAGGGGAAGACCCCTGATAGTACTTAGGCAGAGGTTTTGCAGACTTATTTTGAGATGGCCTTGATTATTCAACAAAGCACTGTTGACTTGATGATCATGTGGCTGGGTGCTTCAGTCTGAGAGAGGAAGGTCTCCCTTTCCTTACATTCTTGCTCTGCTAGGCACTGTATCTTCTGGGACAGAGCTGAGGAGCTGTGTGTGTGTCAGACTGACTTGTGGGGATGAAGATGCTGGTATAATGAATGCTCTGTGTTAGAAGGCAAAGAAACTCCCCTTCCCTCATATCCTCCCAAAGTCCTCTTGCCATATAGGTGACATTGCAAATAAATCAACCTGTGATTCTCACGTTTATCCATTATGTGGCAAGCTGGGGGAAGGGAAGTAGTCTTGGTGATTTGATCCCTAGAAACCTCCCTCATTAGCACAGATCCAGCCACAGAAACAACACTGAGCTCCTGCTTCTTGGCAACTGCCATATGCTTTCTCTTGCCTTCACTGTAAAGTTCCTGTTGCTGGAGCATCCTGAACTCCGAGACCTGGTTTCTTGCTTCCATGCCAGAAACAGGGCTTTCTCCCACCCACAGAGATGGCCATGTTGCACCCTTAGTGCTTAGAAGTGGTAGGACTTGGCAGCCCAGGAATAACGCATAATTTCTCTGTCACTTTCGGAGGTGCTTGGGAAGAACATGACCAACTTCAACCTGGCTGCAGGCCCTCCTTGGGCGCTTCACTCTGGAGAGCTTTTAGGATGGCCACTGGGTGACACTGTGAATGCTGCATGGGGATTCCACTTGGCGGAGAGTTGGCAAGGAAAAGATTCAATGACCTGTCCCTGCTGTGGGCTCATCAGTTCTGCATAAACTCCCAGGAGCTGTGGCTGTTTGCTGCGGAGGGGATGGTAATCCTGGCTGTCAGTGATGGCCTAATCAGATAATGGTACTCACTGCTGATGGACTGATTTCAGGATCCTGCAGCACTTTGCTAAAGAGAGATCTGCTAGAGATGGATAAGGCAAAGGTTAAGATTAAGAGAGGATATGACAGCAGAGACCCAGGAGGTAACTATGAACCTGCAAAAGCAGGGAAATTCAGCAGGGTTCGGGGAGGCACCTGTACTTTGAAGTCCTGGTTTTTGAAGATAAATGTCAAATAAGAGATCCCTGAAGACTGATGGGCGGAATAACAAGCCTCTGAAATATCCCATTAAATGACCTAATTTTGGCCAGTTACAGGGCTCCCATGAAGGGAATGTCGGTTATTTCCTTTCCTCACAGGGAACTTGTCAGATGGGGGAGGGAGTGAAATGAAATGAGATCTCTGGAGGCAAGAGATTAAGCATATGGAAAAATTATGTTTTTTGGAGTTCTGGGCATGGCAAGACTCTAGAGGATTGTCAGTGAGGGAAGGAACAATACAAGAGTCAGTTAACCCCTAAAAGGGAAGATTCCAGAAGCTTTGGGTGTGAGGCTAACCCAGCCTGGCAAGCCATGAGGAAAGTGCCACGTGAAGAATGATGATACTGGCATGGCTTGCAGCATATCCCTCCTCATAGCAATGCCAGCCAACTAGCCCGTGTGTGCATTAACCCACTCCCTGCTGCGTCTGTCACTCTGGGCATTACTATAATGCTTTATTAGTCCTATCTGTCTCTTCGTGAGAAATAATAGAGAAAGATTACATGCCCATTTTTTTTCTAGTCTGCACCTTATCTCCAGATCTGCTGTTCCTCTGGTGCTGTTGCAGCTACTTTTCCACCCTCACTTGCAGAAATAATGGGTTGTGATGGCAACTCTGTTTTTCTGGGTAAAACAAGGGGGGGGGGGGGGGGGGGGAAGTGTTTTCCCAGCTGTGTCCAAAAAAATCCAGACACACAAAGGAAAATCCAATAAATTATTAACCCAGTCTTTCCATCTGCTGATAATGATGTTTCTGGCTGGGTTTTTGGTTTCTTTATTTTTTCATCGCTAGCAGCATTCTCCCTCATGGAAACACAGAATCTCGATTTGATTTGAAATGCAATGTCCTGAGCCATTTTCTGGTGAGTACGTGTGGTTTTCTGCCTTTTGAATGAGGAGAAGTAAATTGGAAATGAGTTTGCTGTACTCCTCTCCCTGTGAGAGGAGAATAAGGAGCAAGAGAATACCTTTCTAGGCAAAAGATTACAGAGTTTATGCATTTACAGACCACTGATTGCGATATACTCCTTTTTTTTTTTTTTTCCTGAGGGAGTGGTGTGCTGAAAGAGGTATTTTCAGCTGTGAAGGCTTGACCTGTACGGTTAATGTTTGTCTTATAAAGTGCTGGGAAGAGGTTGGTTCCAGCTGCCTGGAACAGGCACTGACACAGCAATGCTGTGATGCTTGGTCCATGCGTCCACCTGGTGCTGTCCTGGTGGTGAGAGAAAGCACCACGTGGCCCTATGCTGTGATGGGAGCCAAGTCTGATCCATGTGGTATAGTCATAATAACGAGTTTGGTGTGCTGCCCTGCTTCCACTCTGGTGATCAAAGCACTGCTTGACAGGCACAGCTTGGCAGCCCCTTGACACTCCATAACTTACCTATTTTCCTGTTTACTTCTCTCTGTTTTTCCACCCAAGACGCCTTGCAAACAAGCAATCCACCACAACTACTCCTTTTGCCTTTGGCCTGCATTTTGCTGCATGGCATATACAAACTTGATATTTTCAATATCCAGTACCTAGGCAATCCCAATTGACAGGATAATCAGGGCACCACTGGCCTTGTAAAGCTCCAAACAACCCCAGTAACTGCCTGTGCCACTTCTCACACAACTGCCCCTTAACCAAGCTGTGGGATGCAGCTAACCCTTGAGGTGCTTTCATACTGGTACCTGCCATAGCCAGCAACTTCTGATGTCTCCTCTGGTCTCCTGTGCCCTGTTTGCCTAGCTGAACCTCAGCCCTGTGCCCAGGACACTGCTGGGTTGCCTGCTTGGTGCTGGCTCCCCTCTCCCATTGCTGCCCTCCCTTAGCTGGGGGATTTGCAGGAACTTAGTCACTGAACCAGGCTGGACACTGCTCTGGAGCTTACTGTTTGCCATCCTCACAGAGGCAGCCTGCTGGGTGCCTGCCTCTGGCTTTTCTTTTTTATTGATTAATTTTTATTTTAGATTGGGGGGTGTCAAAATACATACCGCAAACATGAAATTAAATTCGTCAGCAATTTGGAGTGCTCCACAGATGGTGTCAAGCCCCTCTCATAACTACTTAGCAAGACACTAGTTTTTGTGTCAGCTTTTGCTGCCTTTAATATATATAGATAGATATATACATATACATATAACTGTAAACTTAAACCAAGAGTTTGGACAAAAAAATACAGACTTGCTTCATAAATGCACTACCCTCCCCATTTCTTTGCTGACTGCCTGTTCACAGCAATGCTCTGAGATTTAATACTACCCTTGTGCAGCTCTGATCAGTGGTGTAAGAAATACTGCCTTCCCTTGTGAAAATCTCAGGATGTCTGGTGCCAAACCCCAGGACACTCTTTTGCAGTGAAGCAAACTCACAGCTAGATGCCAGAGTGGCAGAGGCTTGCAGGATCAGCCTCCCCCGGGGCAGCAAATGCTCTCCTCTCCCAGTTGTATGGCACAGCAGCCTCAGTGTCTGGGTGACTCGGGACAGACGCATGGATTCGAGAAAAAAGGTCAGATTCTTCTCAACACAAATAGGGAAAAACTAACCAAACTGGAGCACAGTGGCCACAGCGGCCACACAGGTGTCCAGGGCCCCTCACAAGGGGAGCACCAGCCTTCTCCTCAAACCCAGCTTTTGCCTGCTGGCCCACAGTGGCTTCACCTCACCTGTGCTGGGAGGAGGGACACAGAGCACATCACCTCCTCTGAGACCCATGTGCTGGGTGGCTTCTTTCCACTGCATTAGCCAGCTCAGATGTGGCACAGATGGGGATCTGCAGCCCATGCCCCTGCACCAGCTCCCAGGGCCTCAGAGGTGCCTGGAACAGATGGGACCAAACCCTGCCAGCCAAAACGTGCTTGGCACCACAGCCCTGGCTGGGGAGAGGGGTGAAGCCCTCCAGCACACCACCCTGTCTCCATTGCACATGTTCATGGGCATGGGCTGCATCACACGGACAGGCTGTCCATTGGGTGCCAGGCTCAGCACTGGCACACAGGGCAGAGGCAGACCCTGTGTGCATGCACACGGACCTCTTAGCAACCCATGCCAGCCATTTTGGGTGGTGGAAAGCCAGGTTTCCATCCAACTCTGTTCCCAGAGTACAGAAATGGCTGGATTGGAGAGCAGGAGGCAGATCCTGTGCTGTTCCTGGGATGTGTGGGAGCACAGCCTGCAGTGCTGGGGAGCCAGCAGCAGGCCTGGGGAGAGGGGAAGTTGTAGGGAAAAAGAGGGATGCCTTCTGAGATGCAGGGAACACCAGACTGAGGCACCTAGGTGACAGAGGCAGTATCCTGCAGGGTGGCATGGGTGAAAAGCAGGAGCAGCATTGCTTGGGATGAAGCTGGAGGTGGTGAGAACGTGGGTGTCCAGGTTTGGAGGAGCAGCAGGAGCTCTGTGCGCCGCAGCCCTGTTGGGAGGAGCATGGGGAGATGCTGCTGTATGGAGCCTCCAGACAAGCTGGAAGAGGCCAGGGATGGTGCTGGCACCCCTTTCTGGCTGCCAAACAGGGAATGGTCTGGGCCAGGGCGCATCAAGGTTTATGAATGGATTTACCTTCACCCTGCCAGAAATTGATTTTCTAAATTTGTTTTCTTGGTCTGGTGCTGGTGAGCCGAGAAAGTCTGGGGTTGTCCTATGCTGGCAGGGAGGATGGCTCTGTCTGTGAGCCGGGAGGCCAACGGGGAACAAGGCAGGACTACTCTTTCTCCTGGGCTGCAGAGGTGTCCGGGTGTGGTACACTTATGTCAGTGACTTCATGGTGATGCACTTCTACCACAGGGACTGTCCAAAGCCTTTCATAACAGCAAAACACCAGGAACAACCTTGCCTTCCACTTAACACAAAGCTTTGTTTTCCAGTGCAGGGGAATAAGCAAACATAAAGCGCTTAGTAAGACCTGGTCCTTGCTTCACATTGCTTCAGAAAGCCTACCCTCAACTTTGGTGTGTTAAGGAAATAAAGCTTTCAACTGCTGCTGAACAAAACGCAAATACACTGAAAGTACAGAAACCAACATCCTTCATTATTCCGGCCTGTCAGCTACTGTAGCTAGCTGTGGTAACTGGGCCCATGAGATTTCAGGGTGTTTTCTAACTGACAGTTTCCGATGGGGAAACCCCACTTCTGTTACTAACAACATGCCGAGCTCCTGGTTAGAGAGACCGTGACAATGTGACTGTGTGCTCAGGAACCTGGCGACAGAGGAGAACTTGCAGTGAACTGTGGAGAAAACCCCCCAACACAATCAAAACAGAAAGATCAGGTTTGAGCATTCGTTCTGATGGGGTTACTCTGGCGACATCTGTGCTCTTTCGCTTTTTGAAGCCAGGCTGCGAAGGAAAGCCCCAGGCCTGGAAAAGCCTTTTGGATTGCTTTATTTTGTTGTTCTGTCGTGGGGTTGTTTTTTGCAGCAGCAGCTGCGAGCCGCACTCAAGGGATTTAGGAGCGGAGCAGAGCAGAGCAGAGCACGGCACGTCCGGGCCCCCGCGGCTTTGGCCGCGTCCGTCCGCAGCGCCGTCGCTGTCTGGGCTATGTTTTTCACTCGGTGGCTTTACTAATCCTGCCATAATTCCTCTTTTTTTAACCCTTTTCGAGGAGCACGTGGTGCCCTCCGCTCTCTTCCCTCCACCGCGCACCCCCCGACCGCGCTCCCCCGTTCCCGCCCCTGGGCCTAGTCCCGCCCCGCCGGCCCCGCCGCTCCGGCTACTGCCGCCGGTCCCGCTGCCGCCGCGCCCCCCCCGCGCTGGGCCCGCCTGCCGCCGCCGCGCTGCCCGGCCCCGCCACCGCCGCCACGGGCCGGCAGGGCGCCACGGCGCGGCC